TGATTTGGCTTTAACTGTTACCACAGTTTTGGTTTCTTAGATAAGAAGTTCATGACTGCATTTGCATGCTCCTCTGACTGCCATCTGCCCTGGAAAACATGGCTTTCTTCAGAATTAATAGCATGCAGCTTTTCCTCCTCCATCTTTCTGATAAGCTGCTTTGAAATTCTCATGCGATTTCGTGGAAGCTTTGCATGCTCTTTGAGCCTGGTCTAAACTTCTGGAAAGTTCTGTCTGGAAAATCTTCAGTAACAAGTTCTTGCGGGAAAGTTTCTCTTGCTGTTATCATCTTCTTTCCAAAAGTGAGCATCTGAGCTGCCTTAGCTGAGCCCGTCATCTTCAGAAACATGTAAGAGGCGCGTCCTTCCGGACTCTGCCCCAAATGACTGAAGGAGGACGGAAGCGTCACCTTGTCAATAGCATGTGTGATATCAAATAGTCCAAGAAGGGTGACAGGATTCCCATAGTGCGCATTTACCATTGGAATTAGAGGTTTAGGGAAATCTATAAAATGACTTACAAAATTCCTCAGAAAAAATGGCAGTATTTGGGGCTTTTTCCCCCCTCTATATCATCAACAAGGAGATTACTTGTTCAGATCGCTCCCACTGCAGTAATAGTCATCTGCTTCTGTTAGCACAGTTAAGGCTGAATCATCCTCGCTTGCTATTTCAAGTGCAAGCCTGAGATTTTGATTCATCTGAGGACTGAATGCTTTTTTCCCCTTTTCTGGTGGCATGGTTGAACATGATTTTTGGATGCCTGTCTTCTGAGGCTACCATATCCAGACTATTTACTGTTAGCACCGAGTTTCCCTTGAATGGAGGATTCAGATGAACTTTAATTGGACACCAACTTCATATAGTTATGCAGGCAGTTTCCTGGACAGATTGCCAAGAGCATTCCATGTGTCCCATTTGGCCTCATTGATAAAGCCAAGTATTCCTGGGTCAGGCATGTTGCAAGACCCTTCAGTGGCCTGCCTATACAGTGTGTAGAGCTTTCGCCTCCCTTCATTTCCTGGTTCTTTCTTCAAGAATTTCACCTGATTCACCGCAGGCTCCTGGTCCTTCTGACTTCCTCTCACTGCTGTTCTACTCACGTGCAGCTGAAGTACCGAGAAGCTAATGACTTGGACGGGGCTGCTGTAGAGGCTTCTTCCTCTGGCATGATGTCCCACCAGCCAGGATCAGATTAGAAACAGCAACTGCAGCTGGGTCATTAGTGTTTGTAAGCTATGGCCTGGCCTCAGCCACCAGTACCTCTCATTTTTCCTTTGATTTGCATCTCTCAAATGGCTAATGGTTATGAGAATTTCTTTGTATGCGTACCCTCTTCCAGATATATAGTTTGAAGGGACACCAAGAACACTTGGTATAATGTAGTTCACAAAGACAGTGGTTTACATCCTACTCTGGTGAGTAACCACTGGGATCTATAAACTTGTGAGAAGCCATGAAAGGTGTACCTATTCATCTCTCCGTACCTAAAGGAAAAAATAAAATGCTTAAGTTCAAAAGACATATGGAAAAAATCCATCCAAGTGGACTGAGGGACCACTCAAGCATCAATCTGCACATCCCTACAGACCAGAAGAACTAGATGGTGTCTGGCTACCTCTACCAACTGCTCTGACAAGGAGTATATTAGTAGGTCTGAGAGAGAGTCAGGGAAAAGTGTGGACATTAACTCTAAACCATAAAGGAGACCAGGCTTATCGGATGGATAGAGGTTGCTGGAACCTCTGACTATTATCCTGGCCACTCCTCAAGGTAAGGACATTAACTTTCTGTAGCTTATCAAAAGGTAGTATTTACTTAAGGACAAAATTAAAAGGATTATAAAAGAAAGGTATGGAAGTAGGAATAAGAGGGAAGAAGTGGAATAAATTATGGAAAGTTGATGGAATTGCAAAGGGTGACCTGAAACAATATGTGTATAAATTATTGTATGAGACATTGGTTATCTGTTCTGTAAACTTCATCTAAGACCCAATAATTTTTTTAAAGCAGTAAAAAGTCATAGAAAAAGTTCATGATCTTTTAATTCCATATTCCACAAATACTTAAAGCCCTTTTGTACAAGACAAATAAGACATATTAGGGAATAAGTGTCAAATTTTCAAACGTGCTGTCATGGTATTTTAATTAAATAAAGATGAACTTTCTTGATGATTGAAACTGAAGAATTATCAGGATACTCTTAAAATGTTTCAAAATTATTTCTAGTGATTTCCTACAGAAAATTAATGCAGCTAGTCTTTCTTCTGTAGACAGCTCAAGCTATGTTAGTAAACTATCATGTCTGAAAAATAATAGCGAATGTTTGTGCAGAACTGGACTTGCTTTTAATGACAAAGGTACTCCATGAAAATGGTTCGTTTCTTTTTGTCAGTTGATAGATATAATTCTTCAGGAATAGGAATAGCTGCAAGGGGGCCTAGTATTATGAATAATTTGTGCACTTCCAGTAGGATATAAAATGAAGTACGGAATGTTGTGCAATTGTTCTAGCAGAAAGCCATTCTTATTGGAAAATCTGAATTTCTGAGTGCTGACAGCAGTGAGAAGGTGAAATGAAACCTTGTAGCCTTTGCCCTACTCAGTGGTCAGCTGCTTCCCAGGATGAGTTCCTCACCTAAAACCCTTCTATGTAGTGCTACATAGTTCCTTATGATCTCTTTTAAATTGAATTCTATCTTAAAGATTTCCTGTCATTGCAGAATTTAAAAAAATGTTTCTATTAACCATGACACAATCAGAGCACACCACAAAGACAAGATACAGTTATGTGGAAAAGCTCAACACTAATCCTTGCTCCTGTGAGCTGACAGTAGAACCCTGATGTTGTTGTTAGATGCTGCCCCGCCTACTTGGAATCACAGTGAGCTCACATGGCAGAGGAGAACTTCGGTAGAGTTTATCTGCCTTGATCTTCACAGAGCCAGATTGCCTGCTCTTTCTCCCATGGATCTGGCTGAGATCGTATTGATAATTATTTAATTAATAGGATTGCACGTAAGCATTTTTGATGTCAGAACTCCTTAATCCAAATATTGCTATGAGATTACTTTGTTGGCTTTTCTGTCTATACCATTTTTATATAGACATTATTTTCAGACCATATAATATCCAGTTTATATACGTGTATGGAGTTTCTAAGAAACACTGAATTTTTAAACTTTTATGTCATTGTTATGATTATTATATATCCAAGTCAATTTAACTGTCCTTTTAATTGTTTTGAATTATTATTTACGCTACACATCTTGTAAAAGATTATACATTTGACCTTCTGTGGCATATTTATCTCTAGAGAAATAAACCCAATACCAAATTCACTGCCATTGAGTCAATTCCAGCTCATAAGGACCACATAGGACAGAGTAGAATTGCCTCTGAGGGTTTCCAAGACTGTCACTTATTAGAGGAGTAGAGACCCTTGTCTTTCTCACATGCAGTGACTGGTGGTTTACAAGCATGTACCTTGCAGTTAGCAGAGCAATGCATAACTGCTACAAGAGGAGGGCTCCACCGAGCAAAAAGTAAGTCAATCTCGTGCACTGGTCAACCCAAAAACGTAAACAAAAGGAAAGAAAGAAAACCAACTTCACTGTCATTGAGTTGGTTCCAACTCACACTGATCCTATAAGACAGGGTACAACAGTCCCTGAGGCTTTCTGAGGCTGAAATTTTTACAGGTGGAGATTTCCAATTGCTGACCTTGAGGCAGCCTTACTTGTAACCACTACACCAAACAAGTGTTTATAATAAGCTTCCATCATTGGTCTGGCTTAGCTTGGTTCTTTATGCTTGTCATGTAATATTATTTTGAAGATGGAAGTCACAGGACATCTTTTTCCCCTTGAAATTAGAGCCTCAGTAAGCCTCTGGCATTATGTTGAAAATCTTGAGTGCTAGGAAAGTGATGGGCCAAAGCAGGCACTGAAGTAAATGCCTCCAATTTCTTGTGGAGGATATTTTAGGAACAGAACACATAGTTTTATGGTTGGTCAATTTTTAATAAGGTATGTGCTAAGGTCAGGTATTTGTTTCAGGGATTATAATTCACTTCAATGTAAATTCTAATATATGGATAAAAGTACATGGCTGTTGAAAAGTTACTGAGAAAATTTGATTATAATTATTCAAAATTCAGGAAATGTATGATCTTTGATTCTATAAATGTACTTAACCACAGCATTAGCCACAGTGGGGATAGTCCAGCTTCCCTTCATGACAGGTTGCTCGAAAACTTACTCTTGGTGTCAATGCCCTATGTCCCTGTTTACATGTAAATCCAACAATATTATATGGTTGGGAATGCATTTTTTTTATAGTTTTTCCATTTTAACTTTATTTTATGTCTCCCCATCTGGTCTTCTGATATTATACTTGCACCTGAAAGTAGATAAAACAAACATAAAAACCGTTAGCTCACAAAACATAATTTTGTAGACTTTCAAATTTAAAAACAGCATTGAATAATGACTTAGGTGTTCATTCCCAACATGTTTTCTGTCTGTGAGAAATTATAAGTACATTTTCATATGGTGTCAATGATAAACCTAAATAAATTAACTCATTGCAGCCAAACCAATCCTGAATTGTTGAGTGGAATCTAACTCCATGTGTTACTGAGCAATAAGGTATGTCGTCTATAATTTTTATAGAGTGAGATTGCCAGACCTTTCTTCTGCAGCTCTGCTTATTGAGCTCCAACTGCTGTCAGGTTAGTAGATGAATGTCAACCATTGGTGCTACTCAGGAGCCTGAAGACTTGTCAATGAGACAAAAGTGTTGCATCATGCTTAATCCATAGTAACTAGATCATATATCAGAGAATCACAAGGCCAATTATTTTAATATTCATATTTGAATT